AAAGGAGGGGCTGAGAAGTCTTTTCCTGACCAGTGATTTTTCCTCTTTTCCAGGGTCTTCCTTATAGTTGATCAGATTGTGCAGAAAACATTGCTTAGTGTTCTCCCCTTCACCTCGCTTGGTGGGTGCTCAGGATGTGGGTGGGGGGGGGGGAAACGGGGAGAGTCATGCTGAGGAAAATTTCCTACACACCCATGATTCGGCCCGGCGGCACAATCGGAATAAGGGTTGTACGAACCTCCTGTTAGCTGTTAGCGTCAAACCGAAATTTCAAGCCAAACTGAAGATCTCTTCAAAATTGAGTGGCGATAGCTGCTCCTCTTCTGCTGTTTTATTTTTCAAAATAGCTATCATTTGAGACCACACAGCGAAAAGATAGGGGCGAGTTTATAAGGTAAGGTAAGATAGGGGCTAGATTCTTGAGTATTATTGAGATATAGCATGAACTTTGGAATAAAAGCTGCTTGAGAACCCTCTTGTTTCAGATGGTTGTCAGTTGTTTCAGATGATACTCTTTTCAGCCGAAGCCGACCCGTGGAAAAATGCGCATCCATTGTCTCGAGAATGTCGACAAAGGTTTACAATTTCTCAAAGATCAGCATGTGCACTTGGAGAATCTTGGCTGTCATGATATAGTTGATGGAAACCCCCGCCTAACCCTAGGTCTGATCTGGACCATCATTTTGCGATTCCAGGTAATCACATTTCGAGAATCGTTTAATAAAATAACTTCTTGTCTGAAGTTACAGGAGTCGATAATTCATTTGCAGCGAAAATTTTTTGTTTTTAGATCCAAGATATCACTTTCGAAGACGCTGACAATCATGAGACGCGATCCGCCAAAGAAGCGCTGCTACTTTGGTGCCAGATGAAGACGGCTGGCTATCCCAACGTAAACGTCAGAAACTTCACCACAAGGTAGGTCTAGACGGCAATAATCTCATACCCATGGAAAACTGAGCTTCATTGCCCACTTCTGAACTCAAGGCACATTTCCATCCAGATTTTTCCACGTAGGGCCGAAAAACTGGCTTGAATTTCCCTTCATTTGATTTGAGCACGTGTATTTCGGTTTGGCTCGAGAACGCTTTTTGCTAGCCTCGAAGCGATTCGATATCCCAGTTCGCAGGAACTGGTTTCGAGGGAGAGTTTGAGCCCTGAACGGGAATATCGCCATTGCGCGACAGCGCTTGATTTGGCGGGGAAACGCCTTATTGCACTAGCGAGCCACAGCCAAAACCGGCCTGCTGCTCCCAGCGCCCGCTGGCGTCTGCGAAAGCCTTCACTTTCGGCGCGTCTGCCAGATGCTCTCGCTTTTCCGGATGCCGTAATCGAGGTCAGGTCACAAAAAAGTCTCCCCAAAGTACAACCTCCCTGCGGCGAAATAAGACCCCCGTTGTGCTCAGCACAGCGAGGATGTGCCCGATTCCGAAGCGTGGCAGTGAAGGGAATCCGTGTTCAAAACGAGGTATCTATTTTTCCCTCATAATCATAAGTCTTGTTGCAGTTGGCGCGATGGTTTGGCGTTTAACGCTCTCATTCACAAACACCGCCCAGACTTGATCGACTAAGCAACAACTTGGTCTTTCCAAGTTCTTGGATGCTGAAGGTTGGTGCTAACAATAGAGCATTAGGTGTAGCATTATTTATATGCGAATCCCCTGTTTTCAGACGTAAATGTCCGCGATCCGGATGAGAAGTCCATCATCACCTATGTTGTTACTTACTACCACTACTTCAACAAGTTGAAGCAGGAGACTATTCAAGGAAAACGTATCGGAAAGGTTTGAGTTATTATTCAGGGTTCATGAGTCTGACCAGCAATATAAGAATGTTTAGGTTATCAACGAACTTATGGAGAACGAAAAGATGATAAATCGCTATGAAACTATTTCTTCTGATCTCTTAGAGTGGATTAAACAAAAGATTGAAGTCCTCAATGACAGGTGACTTTCGATTTTTTTAATTATAGAAAAACCGTTCTATAAAGTTATTTTTCAGGAAATTCCACAACTCATTACACGGAGTGCAAGAACAACTCGCCGAGTTCAATAACTATCGAACGCAAGAAAAGCCGCCGAAGTAAGCCGAAGGCCTCATCTTCATGGTTTTTTTATATCATGCGCTCACTTCGTAGTAGTCCGTCGTCTCGATTTAAGGTTCGAAGAGAAGGGTGAGCTTGAGGTGCTCTTATTCACCCTTCAGTCCGCTATGCGTGCCAACAATCAGCGCCCATTTGTGCCTCGTGAAGGAAAACTCATCGGAGACATCAACAGAGTGAGTAATTTAATTTTGGTTGCTTTGAGCCGATCTCACAAAAAAATGGTGGCAGTGGTATCCTTCCCACACTGCCCCGTCTTTCGAAATTCAGTGCAGGTTTGGCCCGAGTTCTCTTCGTGTAGTTTGACTGTCGGAACACAAGTATCACAACTTGGAGCGAGAATGACCGCTGACGGCGTTAAGCTACTCCTTGGGACAAACTTTCTGCGATTTTGTGATTGTGAGTTAGCGCTACAGACTACAGGGTGCGCTTGGCGTTTCTCTAGAGAAATGCTGTAAAACTTGTGCTCAGGTGTTGAGACTACTCCAGAGATGAATTTCCAAACAAATCTACCGTTGTGGGAAGTTTCTATCAAATCTTGTCCGAACGTAACAAGTTAAGGAAGTAAAGGGTGATAGATGGGGCTGTTGGTCTACCTGGTGTGGTGGATCGAGTTTTTTTTTCACGATGTTCTTGATGTTTCCTGTAACACAGATGTCTGAAAGTCCTTTGCTCTGCAGAGTCCGCTAATGGGGCGAGTAAGCGCGGCTGCGTTCAGAGCGCTGTCAGCTCGTTCTTCACCAGTTGCTAAAGAGGGTGAGTGGCAGTAACTGGTCAAACTTTACGATAGAGCTGTCAGCTGCCAGATTGCAACACTGGGGTTGCCGAATCCCGAAATATAAAAGGCAGCCCTCGTAAGCAACAGTCTTGTGGCTTGCCGCAAGAAGAAATAAAAACAGGTTGGCGCCGTGCTGAACGCAGCCGCTGTGACACGCCCCATCAACTGTAGCGAACGAAAATATACTTCTTTTTTATTTTAATCTTGTTGTTATATCTTTCACGCTCTAGCGTGCAGAGAAAAGAGCTATAGTAAGAAAATCGTTGATTCAGGCATGGGACACGTTGGAGAAGGCTGAACATGAGCGCGAGCTGGCTCTGAAAGAAGAGCTGATCCGCCAGGAGAAGCTGGAACAGCTGGCTGCTCGATTCAACCGTAAGGCCGAGATGAGAGAGACTTGGCTCACCGAGAACCAACGTCTTGTCAGTCAAGACAACTTCGGATCGGATCTCGCAAGCGTTGAGGTAATGTAAAGGTTTTGTTTCAGTAGCTAGGCCTTTAGCAACTTCCTGATGATCTCTTGGTATATATTACCATTTCTTTTGATAATTCATTTTGATTAAGGCTGCTACAAAGAAGCACGAAGCCATCGAAACAGATATTTTCGCGTACGAAGAACGTGTACAAGCAGTTGTTGCCGTTGCCGGTTTGTTCTTTCACTTATTTTTACCACTTAAGTACTCTGGGAACGGTATTTGTTAGTTCCAGTTATGAAGCAGTTTAATAGTGGCGTCAAATTTTAGGAGAACTTGAGGCAGAGAACTACCACGGAATTGACGAAATCAATAACAGAAAGGAGAATGTCCTTAAGCTGTGGAATTATCTATTCCAGGTTAGTTCGTACCAGTCTGCATAAGTATTTTAATTGCTCGAGATTTGCATTTTGCTGAGGTTAATCGATGAGTTCTGTTTTTTAGCTTCTTCTTGCTCGTCGTGTCCGACTTGAGCTATCCATGGCAATCCAGCGCATATTCCATGATATGCTTCTTACGCTCGACCTAATGGATGATATTAAGGTGTGGTAGTTGGTCCAGTCTTGTAAACTTTCGCTTTGTCTGTTTTACCTTGTAAAGGGAGTTTTTTAAAGCAAAAGACTTTTTGATATTTAGGCACGCCTTCTATCTGACGATCTTGGTGCCCATCTTATGGATGTCGAAGACATGCTTCAAAAACATGCTTTACTTGAATCCGATATTAATATCATCGGAGAACGTGTGCGTAATGCCGTCGCTCAGGCTCAAAGGTTTGTTGCGTCAGCCGTATTATATCTTCCCATAGGCTATTGTCATGACATTCAAGAGCTACATGACTGGTGAGGTTACGTGAAAATTAGGACTTCCGGTAGGGGTCCTGACGCGAAAAGCCAGAGCACAGAGGGGTAAAGGACTGTAGCTGCAAATATATAGCAAGATGCAAAAAATATGTCGCCAGCCAAGGGATCAGCTTTCTTCCTGTGGTTAGAACTACTGGATGGATTAATCGCCTTCCATATGTGAAACTTGAGGTCATTCTGGTCAAGGCATCATGCGGATGAGAAAGCGCAGAGAAAAGCATAACGCGATTAGAGGGACTGAATACATACTGTCCGTAACCAACTGGTAATTGATTGTCCTTGAGAGCGCTGATGATTTTTGGAGGGTAGGTATTCACAGGATTTGTAAGAAAACGAGTGTACTGTAATGGGGATGCGGATATTGTCCAGACTGAATAGGAAATGGGTCTCCGCAATGGGCAACCAATTTAGAAGTACGGTAGCTCTATTCAGATGACGATTATCCCACTTTTGCACATGGAGCCCTTTGAATGCCCCCTCCTGAGATTATTAGCGCCTGCTCATGCCCTACCACATTCGATTTCCGTCCTGGTTTTACTAGCGATAAACAGATATCATGACATCTGTTCACCGCGTACCCACCCCTCCCTTTCTTCATTGTTTCTCCCTTCTTCACTTCTCCCATCGAATGTTTAACCAAAGGCGGCCGGAGAAACATTCTGGACAGCGCAGCGAATAATTGTGGTTCTGTACTTTTGTTTGGAAGGTTACATTATGAACAAAGAAATAGCGAACATATCTTCAGATTCCGCGATCCAGAAGGTCCAGATGGTAGTGGCTACCTGCCAGTGGAACCAGCTGTGGTCGACGAGCGGTCAGCTATATTACAGGCGAGGTTGGCTTCACAGTAATTTCCTATGCTTGCTTTATTAATAAGTCTTCTATAAGTCTTACAGAAGACTTATAGAAGACTTATAGAAGAATCTTTATCACTCGATTTTTAAAAAATATCGTTCTTCCGCAGATATCAGATTGCTCGATCTGGCTGCTCAGCGTAAACGACGCCTGGAGAATAACCGCAAACTCTGCCAGTTCTGGTGGGATGTGGCTGATCTCGAGAACAGCATCAAGGATCAAGAGCGAGTGAGTGAAAACCAGAAATTTTAGTGCTGTGAATGAGAAGTTGTGATTTTTCCCCGTTTTTTTCAATGTTACCAGTGTTCAAATGGGTTTTTAGGTGCTCAGCTCCACAGATACTGGCAAAGATATTGTGACAGTATCACATCTCCTAGCGAAACATAAGAACGCTGAGAATAATCTTGGTGAAATTGAACGCCAATTAGAACAACTTTCCAAAGATGGTGATCAATTGTTGGCAGAGAATATTCCTGGTTCGTTAGACTTCTTTTTGATTTTGCTTTATATCCTCGTAAAAATCAATGATAGAGGTCAATAAATTAGGTCCTGTGGCAAACGCTCTTAACTTGCCTAGGCGAAAGTGCCAATGCAAACTATTTTTAATGATTTATAGGGCTCTGAAAATACTAAAAGTGGGGTGCGCAGACCGCACGGGTTGCAGTATTTCTAGTGTCCGGTGATGAAGTGCCCTAATTCCTGATAAGTCATCCCAGGTGTAGGAAATGGCAACATTTCTGAAACCGGCTCAGTTCTGCTTTGGGGGGCATTTTCACTTTTGCTAGATCTTTTTGCCGTTGACTTTTGTGAAGCTACTAAATGCTACAGTAGTACCGTCACAAATGTTTACAGGACTTTACAAGTCCTGTACAGGCTTTGCTTAGTACCTTTTGCTGACCCCACCAAATGGAACTGAAGCCCTGAATCCTGGTGTCGGGTCTGGTCAAAGTTAAGAACAGAGCACCATGAATCGTATCGTGAACTTCTATCTCTGTCACTTCCCCCTGGAATACTGGGACTGCAAACTTGCAGTTAGGGTTTAGAAAACATTCTCAACGTTAAGCTTTTCATATTCAGGATCGGATAACATCCCACCACGTATCCAGGATATTCGCGATTATTTGAAGAAGCTTCGTGATCTCGCTAATGCGAGGCGCCAGAGGCTCGCTGGCGGTCTTGACTACTATCAGGTTTGTTTCCTTTACTGAAGTAGTCCATCTCAAGAAGTAGCCCAATAATCTAAAAATCTCAATATTTTCATTTTAGTTCTTCACTCATGCTGATGATGTCGATGCGTATCTTCTTGATACTCTTCGACTCATTTCAAGTGATGACGTCGGTAAAGACGAAGGTACCGTGAAGCTGCTTCTGAGAAAGCATGACGACGTAACCGACGAGCTGAAGTCA